TTTTTTTTTTTTTTTAAANAATCTTCATATATTTTTTTTTTTTTTTTTTAAATATTATCCTTCATTTATGACTATCGTTTTACAAAAGAACAGAAAATCTAAATCAACAAATAAAATTCATTCTACATAAAGGCAGTTTCATTTAGTTAATGCGATAGCCGAAAATTAAGATTTAAAAAAAAATCGGAATAAAAAAAGCCATAAATTAAAATTTAATCACACAAAAATGTGTTAAACAGATCATGAAATATTGGTATTTCTCATTCTTAAAACGCCACAAATAGGAATGTCTAAATATAATTGTAGATGATTACTCGTATTCAACGTAATACATAGAGATACATTTATACACGGGGGGGGAAAATTCCTGTAAATTTACCGTAGTGTACGGTAATGACATTCCTTGTAAAAATAAAAAAAAGAACAAATTATTGAAATTAAAAACCAAAAGATGCGGTATTTAAACCATTTATTTGATAATTTTTCATTTAATACGGTGGTGGCTTACCGGAAATTTTGGTTTTCAAAATTATAGTTCTTTTTAACATACATTTAACAACAAAACAAAAAATGTAACTGAAAAGTAAATTTAAACGAATAAATGGTTTTATCATACTTTAAGACATCACGACAAAATTACCAAATTTTACCGCATATTGTATTGTTAATTTTTCCAAAATCATTATCATCGGTAAAAAAATACCGTCCTTTCTGGTGTTTCCATAGAGCCAGAAACACAGTAAATTTTATCATAATCAAGCAGTTTTGGCCATACTTTTTTATTCATAGCTATTCCTGAATTTGACCTTGTGTGCTTCTTGAAAAGAATTCGAAATGAACTTAACCTCTTGAAACTTAAAAGTATCTTATTTAACTTCTTAAAACTTAAAAGAATCTCATTTTGCTTAAATTTATGTATCAATGATTCCGCTAGTACGGAATCACCAATATTTGATACTGATCCAATTTAAATGATATTTGACACTAATATTGATTCAAATTTGAGATCCATTTTACTAAAAGCGGTACTCTATTTTAAACATGAATTCTCTTCACACGGGGCAAGTATTCATCATCTAATTATCCCTCCATTAATATGCAGATTCATAATTATTCAAACAATTGAAAAGGAAAGAGTTATATTTGAGCCATCCAGGTTTTTAATCAGGACTGATCAAACAATTGCACCAAGAAAAAGCGACGATATAAGTTAAATTTCAAAATTATTTTATTTTTCTCAGCTATTAATTAAGAAGAAAAACAATTTAAAATGTAATCACAATTTTGCCTACATAAATCTGTTGGCGCACTCTTTTTTTTTTTCTTCTTTTTTCTTATTTTCGTGCTGGATATTCATGCGTCTCAGAGGACGCATCATTTTTGACGTCCCTTCCCAGATTCTAGACGCAATTGACACGCAATAACACGCAAGCGGTATCATAGTATATTATGAAGAAGTTATTGGGGGGGAAAGTGTTTAAAGTGACAAACTGGGCAATCTCCCAAGAGCCCTAAAATTTGCGACCATTAAAATAATCCTCGTAAGATAAATATACTTATACATATGATTTATAGAGTTATTTGCTATATTTTCAAATATATAAGCAATTTTCAAATTCATTTATTTTTTATTTATTTTTTTTTCTTAAAAATTTAGCTTTCATATACACAAAAGTACTTAATAAATATATTAATTCATAAATGGAATAGCAAAAGGTACTATTCGAGAGGATGGTTATAAAAAGACTACACGAAGCGTAGAGCTATATAGAGAAGTTTAAAAATCCGCAAAATATGTTTGATGCAAATAACGATTTTTAAAATATAATTCTCCTACAATTTAAAAAATAAATTGTAGAAAGCTGGTTCATTCAATGAAATTTCTAACTAAATAACAACAAAACGGAGATATATTTCATTCATAAAGTCATGAAATACCCGCAATCTGGGCGCATCGTCCATATAATCCATTTTACCATAAAATCAGTTTTTACCGTAAAATATAATACCGTAATTTTTACAGTAGTATTATTTAATTAAAACGATTCAGTGATTTTATGATGATTACTGTAAAAAGTAAGGTATATCAGATTTTTTGATAAACCGACAACCTGAGTGCCGATAACTTTAACAGTCATTTGATCTGGAATTTTTTTACAGTGTATCGTTATGCTTGTGATAGTATATTGTTACACGCATTATTGAGTCCATAACGTGCAAAAATATATAAGCAAAACAAAGGCATAAAAGGTTTTTGTTTAACTTATGCAAATAAATTAAAAAATTATAATAATTAAACATCTGATTACTTTAAAAAGTAGCAAAATAAAAAATCAAAATTGGAGAATTAAAAATATGTAATGCATAATAGGAAAATATGTTGGAGTAGGAATATATGAAAAATATGCATACATATATATTCTTACTATGCTTTAATTGAATATTTAAATTCATAAAAGATATTTATTTGAATAATATTTGTTGTATGATACTGACAAAAGCATTGCAGATATAATAAACATTGCGGCATCTCTGATATGAACAACCAGATTGAAATGCCTTGATTAATAGATTAAACATTTTCATTTTGCACGTGGGTAAATACTTTTTATAAAATAATATATTTTTTTTAATCTAGTAAATATTTTTGTACAATGTAGGCATTTTTATGAATATTATTGTTATTATTTTTTTTTATAATATTTTCATTACGCATTTTTTATAATAGGAGTTTTCTTGATCTGGACTGAAAATCATTAAAGATGTATTTTTTTAATAGTCTGTTTTTCGTCATTTAATTTGAACTATAAAATATGATTCAATTATTTTAATTTTTTACACGTTAAAGATTGAAATGAAACATAATACTTTCGAAATTCAAATGTTTTGTTGGCTTTTTTTTATAATATTTTAATAGATAATGCAGTTTTAAAATGTACTAAATAATATATTTAGCGCACATGATAACACAAAATGTTATAACTATAATGTTCTAAATCTAAAACAAATCCATTTAAAAATTATTGAACATTATTCTGAACAACTAGAACAATGCGATCTCATTGTTTGTTTGTTTAGTTTTTCTTATATTTTTTATTGCTTTTATATCCATGAAAGATATAATCACTTTACCATAAAAGATATAATCACTTTTTTCACTTAAAAATAACAAATGAAATCAATACAAAACACAATTGTTTATTACTAAGTAAAATGTTGCTTCAAATTATTGATTTACATGCAAAAGTCGTCTGTATAAAATTTCATTTTAGTCTATACAATAGTTTTTGCAAAACTTTGCAAGCAAACACGAAAAATTTTACTTTAAAAAAAAAACTTACTTTAAGTTTCACAAAAAAAAGAAAGAAACGTTTGGAATTTAAAATCTTATGTTTTAATTAAAACTACGTTTATTTTACGAGTAAAAAATTTAAAGAATTTTGTTATATACGTTTTAAATTGAGTATCAGAAAATAGACAATATTTATTATAAATTATAATAAATAAAAAATACCGTGATATTTTTGAATCAGGGCAACTCCTCAACATGATTATACCAATGATTTCAACCCCGTTTTAAAAAATAATAATAATAATAATGGTTCCTACAAATCAACTGCATAAATTAAGCTATTTTTTTTTAAATATAATTAATGATTGCTGAAAATGTGCAGATGGATAATCTTTAAATGTATTTGTTCATCATCAACAAACCTGCATATGATTGAATACATTAGTTTTCAAAAAATGTTGTAACAATTAACATTTATTCTTAAACTCGTAATATTTCATCGTACTCATATGTATTACTACTAACTCATAATATTTCTTCATTGTCATTAATTTTATAAGGCTGTTAATGAAAATATCTTAAAATGAAATTATTCGAACAAATAAATCGTCATGCAAAACATGTTTAAATATGAAATAATTAGTTTAAAATAATTTGTTAAATAAATTAAATGATTCGAATTATCAATATTAAAATACCGACGACTTTGTAAACAAACATAGTTTTCTTTATTGCTCAACCCCATTCTCCGTGAAAAATAAAATAAAATACATACATCAGTTAAAGGAATCAGTTTAAGGAAGGATAATGGTCAAACTTTGCACTTGATATCATTTAGGAAAGAAATGTTTTCCTTCATGTTATTAAATGACCACCATTTAATTGATAAATTAAAGTATGTAATCCTTCTCTAACAAAATTTGCAAATTTTCCCTGATTAAGAGTTTGTGATACTTGCCCTTTACTCATTTATTTTACTGACAAACTGATTTAACCTCTTTCTTACAACATTTAGTAAACATTTACCTAAATCTAAATAACATCAACACTCCCATGAAAATTAATCCTCATTATTAAATAACATATTTTTAATAGAAAACCTACAAACGATATTAATAAATGATCTAACTCTTGCATTCATGCTGACTTAAAATTGTTTTCCCCAGTGAATTTATTCATCCTCTTAAAGAACTATTTATCAATATCAAAATAATGGTTATATTCCTACGAAAAATATTATTGCATAAAATGTTCGGAAACTCCAAAATTCATTGACATTTACACGCATTATTTTTTTTTACATTTTATAAGACATGCTATAGTTTAAATATTTAAATATAAAAGGAATCATACCTTCATAAATAAAATAATTTAACTTTTTACTCACCACCAAGGGTACAACTCACATTTTCAATAAAAATAATTAAATTATACATATTTTTCTTTTTTAATGAAAAATCTACTGGCAACATTACTGGATGCTCCCATCCAATTATACGGACTATTTCTACAGCAGTTAGCTAAATTTAAATATCTCTTATATTAACATAAAAATTATACAGAATAAATAATATAGAAATTTCAAAATGTATTGATATTTACACGAATTATTTTTACAATTATAAAATATTTTATAGGTAAAATATTGAAAAACGAGATGAATTACAAGTTTGTAAATAAAATAATTGTGATTTAATATTTTACTCACCACTAAGGTTTCACATTTTCATAACAGATAATCCACAGTATTAAACGATACATGACCCTCATTTATAATTAAAAATCTGCAGACTATATTAATAAATGTTCCTTATCCAAATACGCAGACGATAATATCCAAAAGTCAACCGCTCTTAAAATACGACCAGTAAACGTTGAAAAGGCAAACAGGTTGAATTGTTTACATGAGCCTCAGAGGGCTGTTTCAGAGCACAGGTTCAGAGGTAATAGAAGAAAAGTGCAAGTCTGCTTTTTTGATGAGAGAGGGGGGAAGAGACGGGATTCCAGAAATGGAAGTCTAACCAATGGGGAGAAGACTGGTTCGCATCGTGGGGGTAAATGGAACCTGTTTCTGGTGCTCTGAAAGTTCGGGTCGGATAGCAAGGAGTGATGTAACTACAAGATCTGTGTTGTTGGTCGATTGGCAAAATCGTCCTCTCTGCCTATGGTTGTGAAAGTTTCAAATGTCGTTGACTTTCTCCAATAGCGGTTTTCTGTAATTTATGAGCGGAGAAACTGGTCTAGAATATATGAAATTTTAGTTTATTAACGTATCAACTAAATACTACAGTTTAAATCGATTCTTTTTTCAAATAAATGTGAATGGAGGGAAATTTATTGCCAGTTATTAAATTGATTGATTAACTAACGAACAATAATTGAAGATTAAATTATGAAGATGTGCATAAATTCATTAAACAATTTGAGTTATTTTTTTATGCATAAATTCTTTTAAAGATACTGATTCAATGTTAACTAAAAGAGAAAACAGTAAACAAATGAAGATCATGATTGTAGCAATTTCAGTAAGGAAATTATCTAATCAATAACTACTATCAAACCTTTAATGAAATGTTTTAATAGTAAAATGAAAAATTTCTAAAAAATTTTTAATGCTTATATTGTGTCATGAATTCCAATACTGATTCAACGAATAAACTATTCAAAATGTAATCAAAGCCATAAATGAATTCCATTTTATTTGTTTACATTTCAGAAGTCCCCGATTAAAAAAATAAATAAATAAACATTTTTATGCCGTACTTCCTCGAAGTTTCCTCTTCTGGGTGAGTTGAACTTAAAATCGCGTTGACACGGAAGTGAAATGCTACAAATACTCTACGTTTGTAGTTTGCTGACGGATGATAGTGAAGTTATGCATCAAAAAAATTAAAATTTATGAAGAAAAAATTTTTTGTGCTCTTGATTTTTAAACGCATTTTAATTAAAATTGAGTCATAACATACACTAATTAATTTAAGGAGCAACAGGGGACCTAAATAGGCTAAGGGACAAACGTGGACGCAAATTGCACTGAGAATTTTACAATTTTAAGCGCATTTCATTTTTGATGCATAATGGCAAGTTGTAGAAAAATAAATAAATAAAAAACAAAATATTATTATTATTTATGCTTTTTTTCCTTTTGAAAATATCAGAAAAACACTTTATTGATAACGAACAACTTTTTCAGAACTTTTATAATTATTTGATTCAAAGGGAACTTTTTTCTGCAAATTTTGTTTAGTTTATGAAGAAAGAATGTGAAAACTTTTAGCAGTGTTGTCTAGCATTAAAATATTTTGAAAGCTCAAGATGAATTTTCATTTATTTATTATTATATTAAAGAAATATTTTTCTCATTCATTTAAAAATACTCCCTGTTTTCATTATCTTTAAATACCCTTTTACAGAGTAAGTAAAAAAAAATAATTGAAAAAGAAAAGAAAAAGCGATTTCTGAATGAAATTTGATGTTTGGAAAAAAGGAAAAAATGTTTTCCTCTGGCCGATATTTAAAAATTACCTCACGTGGGGGAGGGGGTAATTTATTTGTCCTATCAAAGTTTCTTTTTATAAGCAGTTGTTTCCAAAACTGTATTCTTTTTGTAATTATTTTATAAATTTAACATCGTATTAGTGCGTCGCATACGTTTCACATTTACAAGGCTGATTGTACTCCGGAAAAAATCCGGATTTCCGGATTTTTCGTTAACAGTGATCCGGAAGTTTCCGGAGATCGAAGGTCCAGACGTTTCGAAAAATCATTGATCACAGAAGTTTCAGGAAATCAAATTTTCAAAGGTGGAACTTAAAAACACAGTTTATTTTATTTGTTTGTAAGGGTGAGCCAGAGAGATACTTTATAAGCTTATATTCATGATTAATATTAATTTTTTATCAGTAAATAGTTGTTAAACTCAAGAAAGAAAGACATATTTGTAAATTTTAATTACTTCTCCAGGTATAGGTATGTGTAAATGGTATAGGTATGTCTAAAAGTTTAAATATATTTTAAGTAAACTAAGAAATATTGAGAAAAAGGAAAGAAAAAAACTTGTTTAAATTTTTTTCTAATTTTTCAATTAAACTTTTTTATTTTTCTAATTTTTCAATTTAAACTTTCAATTTAATTCTAATTTTTCAATTTTTTTTTTTTTTTTTTAACTCAAGAAATTTTCCGGAATTTTGACTTGGGCTCACAATCACCCCTGCATTTACACTCGTTATATTTAGATTTGTGGAGCTAAACAATTTTTTTCCGGACCTCAAGTCAACGCATGGTACTGAGTAGAGATATGTTCGGACATGCTTTAGGGGGTTCCTGAAAGCCCAAGCCCGAAGAATTTAAAACCAAGCCCACGCAAGATACATAGGATTACATAGAACCCGAAACCGTCCGAGATCGAGATATACGTCGGATAATGGACAAATTTTACGGTCTCCGCACTCAGCCTATGATGTCTAAACAAGTAAATTAGTAAATTAAAACCTTTTTTATCCTGTAAAAGAAAAAGCGAAGAGAAAATCTAAACATACTGAAACTCCAAGATGATCAAAACAAACATTTAAAAAAAAAAATAATAAAAATCTTAGGTAAATAAAGTCATTTGACAATTAGTGCTATAGCCTCACAAAGCAAGAGCATCGAACAAAAGTAGCAGATCTCTGTAATTTTTTAGATCTTTAAATTTTACATTTTTCATACTTAAGTACTGAACCAAACGCTTGTTGAAAAGCAGTAAATTTTATGAAATTTTTATCATAAGTCCGAAATCTTTTTACAATAAATGAGCCCGTCTTATTTCTAATTCGGGACAGAGAAATTTAAAATCAGATTTAAAAAGATAATTTTCGATCAACAAACAAATATCAAATCATTTGAAGTTATCATTTTTTTTTTTTTTACCTTATTATAGAATTTATAATTTTTCTCTTCGTTTACCGAAAAAATAATCTAAATATATTTATTTGCATTTTTATATTTATTTGTATATTTATCTTTTTACTTAATTTCCATACATTTAACTTACAGACTTGGAAATTTCTATACTAATAAAACGGTCTGCATAGAATAATTACAAAAATTTCCGTACCGTTATTTTCCTCTTAACTATCCCACTATTCATAATAAAATTAAAGATAGGTGTAATTATAGATACAATGATAAATAGGACATTAGTACAGCCCTCCTTCAATTAGTTAGTATTACGAGCAAAGTATCAACAACAAAAAAGAAAACAAGAACAGAAAGTTAACTTATTAGTAGGTAAGTATAAGTAAAAGCTAAGTAAAAGTTTAAGTATATTTGTTTATTGAATTTCAAGAACGTCGAACACCGACTACCAGCCCCACTAAACCTCTGTTAAAATTCAGATATTATAAAAACTAAATTGCCCTTTTTTATTGACCTTTTTTTTTTTTTTAAATTTATCTGATTTTTTTTAAAATTTGCAAAATAGTAAACACCTTGCATAAAAAAGAACAAAGTCACTAAATACAATTCTCAAAATATCAACAAAAAAAGAAAAGAAGAAGAAGAAAATATTATCTCCTTTAGTGAAACTTTTGTAAGCAAAGGGGGTAGTTACTCCAGTGTTTTGGTAGAAACATTGTAATGAAAAGACATTATTTCTGCAACTGTTTTAGTCTAATGTAACTGAAACTGGCCCAACCCTAAACTTAAAGATTTAATGGAACCAAAATCATTGTTTTTTACATTTTCTTCCGATTACATACAGATGCTTTAAAATTTTAGACGCTTACGTCAACGCTATATTGGACAGTCAAACCGTTCCTATCTGGAAACTCGCAACTTTTTTTTAAAGCTTTATCCCCTTTTTAAACTTAAAACAGGAGAGGACTCACTATCCCATGTTACACAAACGTATAGTTATGCGAAATAAAGAAACTCATAAAATGAAAAAAATAATAATAATTACATTAATGTAAAATGAGTAATAATTATAATTTCATAAAAAAAGATAATAACAGACATAAACTATTCGAATGTTTGGGATGTTTGATGATATTAATTTAAAATAATCAGTTTTTAAATTTCTGCCGATAGTTAACTTGTTACTTGGTAACTTCTGCTAATTTCCTTCAACAAGATTCTTTAAACAGAAATGTTGACTATCAATTCATTGGAAGTGGAAGTATTCCATTTAGAAGCAATATAATGTCATTTATTTATTGCTGAGTACAACATTGTAAAGTTAAGTATAAAAAGTTAAACATGCTGTAAATACTTTGATTTAATATCTTTCCGAATTCGATGTTGAACAAATGAAAAAATCGTGAAATGGAACACTCTAATCAAGCTCTCATATTCACTTTAAAGGGGAATTTTAATAGCTTAAAAATGCTTACCAAAATACCAGCTTAAAAATGCCAGCTTAAAAATGCTTACACCAAACTCACGTGCATTCACACCATTCATGAATTATTTTCGCCAAGCGTTCTCTTAATATATCGACAGGAGATTGCTTACAAATGAATTTGACTTAATAAATTGGCGTGTGTTCATTGTTGTCTTCTTTCGACGCACCTGTAAGAACAGAAACTCGCAATTAAAAAATTTAGGTATTTTTTTATAGTTATGTAATAAAGAAAGTTATATTTTAATATTTATATACCGGTGTACTATATTAAATCATATGATAACATACAATTCTATCCGCTTCTGCTCTGTTAAACCTATTTCGAGTTATTATTATTATCTCGATGATATGTGTAGTTTGATTTTATTTAAGGATTAGTATGGCGCATTTTAAACTAATCGTTCTTACTTTAAATTGTATCATAAAAATGACTTAACTGACTCTTAATAGGTTTGTCATTTCTTATAAATATAAATTTTAGGGTTACTGAACAACAAAAATTATAGTTTACCTTCTAACTCGCTAGACACACATAAGGTGTCTAGCGAGTCTTCAGATAGGACGTCTATTTTGCAGAACTTGAAACATTTTATTTTAATTAGAATAACAGGCTAATAATATGCTGATAATTCTATATAAATACGTTTTCAAAATGAGACTTTTAAATTTTTTGATTAAAACTAAGATGTGGTTTAGGTTAGTAAATAGAGGTCTTCAAACTGGATAATGATACTGTAAAGACTTCCCTTAATTTACTTCAAAAACTTTAGAATGTACTAAAAGCAAAGAATTCTAGTAGTTAAACGCTATGTAAGTTCTTTACTAGAAGTCGATAGATATAGCGATAAAGAAATTATAAAACTCTCTATTTTGGTTGTACCATTTATTTATTAGATGCAATTTGCTACTATGAAAATTAAATTCGAAAATTCATGTAAAATTCGATAATTCTAGTTAATTTAAGTAAATTTGGTTAAAAAAAGATTTAATAAGAGATGTATAAGCTGACGTCACTTCACTTACCAGTCCACTAGAAATCCATCTATGATCAATCAGCTACATATCTGGTTGATCATTGATGGGATGAGATGGGAATACGAATTGTCCAGTAGGAATTGTACAAACAACTAGTTACCAGTCACAACCACAAAATTACAATAATTGATCGATTAATTCCGATCGGGTAATGTAGTTCAGCTCAGGCTTTGAAATCACTATTTGATTAACTAAAAACCGCATACGTGACTTCGACAGTAAAGGATATAATAATTTTAATTTAAAATCCTGCATTTTTAAGGCATGTTTTACTACTTTTTTATAATTTAATTCTTTTCATTACTCAGTATATCAACTTTAACACTTTTTTATTATACGAAATGCATTATATTTCGCATATTTTTTTACTTAGTTAAAAGTAGTAAGTGTGTTATTTACGTCTCATTAGAGTTATTCTATGCGTTATTGGCGACGGTCGAGGAAACATCCTTGAGAACAATTTGAAGACGTGCCATCATAATTTTGACCCACTACAGAGAAAATTACTCTTTTCCTGTGGTTGTCGAACATGAAATCGAGAACTTTACAGCAGAACAGTTTAACAAGGACCAATACCAAACATCCTCGATCCCTTCGCTAAGCAATGGTGATCGACGTAGTCATTGATTTTTATAAGTTGGCCCATTGATTGCGTTAGATGCTGGTGTTAGAATTACTAGTCACTTTTCTAGTCAAGAATCATTCTGACTGTCATGTCACTCAGGCTCCGCACTCAGATCGTCAGGCTACCAAAGTGGAGAATCCATCCCTTCTGTAGAGAATCAAAATTGTGATCGCATGTCTTCGAATAATCTTAGATTATGATAATAAAGGGAAATAAAATACCAACCTACCTATCTGAATGGTGAAATATATTTTTCTACGAAAATGTCACCAATCTGGTTCTCTTTTTCTCACGATGCTGATTGGAGGCGCAGCTTCCACATTTAGAGAGAATACTTCTGGGAAAAACTAACCAATCAGGTTTTCGTTTGCATTTATCGAAAAAAAAATCGCATCCAGTAAAGGGCCATTCTTACTGCATGCGAGAACTGGTCAATGGGCTATTGGCGACGGTCTATTAAACATCCCTGAGGATGATCCGAAGACATGCCATTGCAATTTTGAACCTCTGCAGTGGCTTTGGTAGCCCGATGATTTGCACGCGAAGTCGAACACTTTACGGTAGAACCGTTTAACTAGGATCTATACCTCGTACCCTTTGCTCCTACGGTGGCTGATCAAAGTGATCTCCCACCCGGTTACTGACCACAGCCATTGAGACTTGACTTCTGTATTCTTCTGGGAACCGTGTCTTTACGATCAGTCCACTGCGGGACTCGCATGCGAACGAAAATCTGATAGATGAGTTTTTTGCCGGTAAATATTTCCCACTGATCTGGGTCTCATTCGCTCGCGGATGCGCAATGCGGAAAAAATAGCAGGCAGTGAGTATGGCCCTTTAAACGCAGTTGTGCTAAACGTCTTCATAGTCTGATGACCATTTCCACAGCATGTAAAATATTTGCATATGCGTACTCAGAGATACACGCGAAAAACTGATTGGTGAAACATATTTACCTGTGAAAAACTCGCCAATTAAATTCTTGTTTTCTCCCCAGAATTCGCATATGCGATTTGTTTGCATGCAGTGCGAATCGCTCTTTAATGAATATGAACTTGCCGCAATTTTCAAGAAATTTTAACTTCAACTGTGACCGATCTGTCATGTCATCACATTTGTTTACATTTTAAAATAATGGAGCGGGATTAAGAGTGCAAATTTTGTGTTTTAATTTTTAGTACTTTTAATTCTTCTAAGCCGTGGCAAAGTTTTATTCTCAAATGTAAATTAACTCTTTAGCTATGTCTTCATTACCTTACATAAGCGAAGTAATTTGTGCCAGTAGAAAACTAAACTCTGAACGAAGAGAAATAGACAATGAAAAACTTATAAATGAGCTTCGTTCCCGACCAGGTCTTTGGGATCAAGGGTCATATGAATATGGGAATCGTCTTCAAAAAGTGAAACATTGGGAAGCTGTTGCTGCAGAACTGAATCGATCTGGTAAAATTAACTCATATTTAGAGTGTCCCAATTACACAACTTCGTAGGAGCCATTCAGAGTTTTTGTTTTGATTATTTTAAATTGAAATAGCTTCTGTTACGGAAGTTAATTTCACTTCTTGTATATAAGACAGAACACAAGTATGTTTTATCTGTAACTGAAGTTATTTGCAGTTAGAATGAAATATGAATGACGTCTACGATATTGTGCAACTGGACATATATCATTGTTTCTTTTTAGACATTATTTATTTTCAATGAATATGCTGAGTTTTTCCTAGAAATAAAAAAGAGCAAGGTGCTTCATCACGGAAAAGGGTACTTTGAGATTTAAAAGTGGAAATGATGTCTTCAGATCAATTGAGAATTCAATTTTTTCAATTATATTTATTTTGCTATCAAATGGTGTTAAATAATTTCTCTCCCAATTAACAGCTTGTGCCAATAAATAAATAGGTAAACAATATTGGGTTGCTCAAAAGGCCTTGGTATGCAAGAGGTCAAAATCTGAAGTTTGGCCCCTTGCATTGAGCTTTAGCCACCTTTTTTAATTTCTAAATGAAGAAAAGGTGTTTAAAGGGGCAAAACTTAAACTTTACTATATAGACAAGTGCGCATGTTTTGTGCTTATTTACATTGAATTAAATAGCATCAAAATCAACTTAGAAGTTAAGTAGTTTTATGTAATTAGGAAGTATAGCGTGAAAAAATACTTTTTTATTATACTTTGCAATTGAAATACCAAGCTAAATCTAGACAAGTGAAATATTGTTTTATTTTATTTTTTTACATTGAATCAAATAAAACCAAAATGAAGTTGATGGAAAAGATAGTTCAAAATTTAATTTATTTTTTAAATAACTTTTGAATCATTTATATTAAGTTAGCAATTGCCTTTAAAATATTATAGCAGGATCTGTAATTTTTACCCACAGATAAATCAACCGTAGTAAATTATAGTTGACTCTTACCTGTCTGATTCAAAAAATGAACTATTTTTGTTTCCCCATTTCTTTTTCTGATTTGTCGAGTGCGTCTGATCATCTAATGCAGGGTAAATGTGCCAATGAGCTTTTCCTGAAACTTTTTATTTATCTTGGCCCTAAAGGCATTAGTGCTGTTTTGTAAACATATAATGTATTCTATAAAAATGGCATGGAAAGGCTACTTCCTGAGCATTTGGAGATAGGCAGATGTTATTCAATTGCTTAAAGTTAGGTGGCACTCACATCAAGTTGACAGTTTCAGACCTATCTCACTCACTTCTGTCTTTTTCGAAGTGTTTGCAAGAATGGCGGTTGATAAGCTGAAATTTTATTTGGAGAAAAATAATTATCTCTCAGAGAGGCCAGCTTTGTTCAGAGGCATACGGAGCTCCACTAAACAAGTTACTCATTTATCTTGAGAAGGGAAAGATAGTTTTCTTTTGAAGTAAAGCATGCTGGCCATGTTGTAGATTTTAAATCTGCTTTCGATAGTTTGGAGAAACATGTTACTGAAAAAACTACTAAGTCTGGATGTCATTGGCTGCCTTTTTAATTGAATTAAATCTTTTTGCAGCCAAAGATGTATGGAAATGCTGAATCTGATTTTAGACAGACAACAAAATTACCTCCCACAGAGAAATGTTTTTAGTCCTTATTCATAATGTTGTTTTAAGAAGAGCTTGGTAGCATAAAGGGGATCCAGGTTTTGTTTTGCAGATAACCTTGTCATGTGATTAACAAGTTCAAATATTCAAAAAATTTAAAACTCAGTAACTAAGGCACTAATCAACCTTGTTAAGTTAGCAGATGAGAACCAGAGCTCATTCTAGGCAGAAAAAAGGGCAGGGTGCAAAAGTTTAAAAAAAGGGCATTATTATTCTAAAAAGGCAATAATTTCTTTTCAAGGGCTTTACACATTCTATTAAAAAACATTGTCAATTAGTAAAAAAATTTTTTTTTATTTTACTAAAAGTAGCAAAGCAATCATATTAATAACTAATTTTCATTAATAAATTAACATATGTATCGAGTTAATGAGCTAATTAGCTTGGTAATTTATTTAAAATGCATGCATATATTAATAAAATAATAAATGTATGTTTTTAAGTGTCTTTAGTTATGATTTAATAATTAAAATGATTAATAATAATTATGATTTAATGATAGTGGAAGTAACTGCAAACTTTCAAAGACAAGTGCAACAAGGCTATTGGCTATTTTTCCTTTCTGATATAAATCTATGTATTGACAGCAATGACAAACTAAATAAAAAGAGTTAAAAATAAAAGTTTGAGAAATCCACTGTAGAGTTTTGGGAAAAAATAAAGGGTTGAGGAAAGAAAGGGTAAAAAGGGTATAGAGTTGTATTACATCAGGACACTAATTTACTTCAGGGGCAACAGGGTGGATTCTTTTGACTAAAAGGGCAGCAGGGTGCTGCGCCCTGTTTACCCTGCCTAGAATGAGCTCTGTGAGAACGAAATGCTGGTCAATACTGAGAAAACTACCTTTCAGCTTTTTAGTTTGAGGACCAAAAAGCATTTCATTAATTTGAGCTGAGCGAACCAACCTTTTTTTAAAACGGATCTAACCACTTGCGTATTATGTTAGATTCCAAATTAATTTAAACTGGTCAAAAAGAGAATGCTTTAAATAAAATAAAGCTACTAAAAAGGTTTTCTGGAATTATTTGGGGTGCATCTCAAGATGTCCTCACAAAAGCTTATGTTAGATCCATCTTTGACTGCGTTTCTGGACTCTTAATTACAACTTCTAAAAGCATTCTATCCAGGGTTGGCAAGGTTTAAGACAGAATGGATTAATCAGTGGTTTAAACCCTGGTTTAAACCATCCTGTCCAAAACCCTTTTACTCGAATTATGTCACAATTTTAAGAGGTAAAATAAACATAGAACTAATAACATATTGATAATTAAATATATTAGAGAATATTTGTTTTTAAAAGTATAATGTTTTATTAATATTGTTTGACTCTTCAATTTAAACAAAGGAAGATTAATCAGTAATCAAGTTTGATTGGTCCTTTCATTCAATAGTACATAACTGAAGTTTGACCTTGCCATACAGGTTAAAATATTAGGGACTAAGTGCTTGGTTCGTCATAAACAGGTTTATTTATCTATAATACTGTTCAAGAATACTTTTATTTCATTCATGTTCAATTCTTTTAGCATAGTGGTGATACATCACCAGTGTCAGTAACTGAAACTGATGTTATGCCCTTCAAAACTGTTAATACATTTTTCAGTTATTTTGTATTTTCAATTTAAACTAATATATTTATATTTAAAAACAATTTTTTTTAAAATAGATGTCTTTTTTTATCATCCTGTGATGCAGAAATTATAACATTTTTTTTAAAAAAATATTGTGAAAAATGAAAGGTTAATTTTTGAACAAATTTAGTATTTCTTTTAAGAAAAATTATAATTTTTTAATATTGCCATATTTATCCTTATGCAAAAATATTATTTATCAGTATTAAAAGTATATTTATATTTAAAGGATTAGATATTCACTTTTGTTGTTCAATGAGTTGTGGAGCTTCAAAAATTATAAACCTTTTCCTATTATATTATATTATTTTCTTTTAATAAGTTATAGTAAATTGTATAAAAATATCAAATATTTATTGATACATGTAATTATTATGTGTACAATGGTTACACCTATAGAATTTTTACCTTTTACCAAAGTTCAAGGTTTTGGACACTTTAAGACAGTTTTACCCAGTTTAAGACAGTAAAACCCACGTGTTCTGCCCAAAACCAGTTTAGGACGTCCCAAACCCCAACCCTGATTCTATCCAAACTTGATATCACACAAAATTGTGCCTTTCGTTTAATTACTGGAGCAAAAAAAAAAATGGACTACTATAAAGGAACTTCAGACCAATATCGAACACTTATTTGATCGCTGTGATAAATGGGGTACTGGTCCTCAGAGAAAAGTTGTTTGAAAGTAATAGTCGCTACTGAAACAATTATAAAGCTGTTCTGGAAATATTAAAGTCTCTATCAACTTTTTTTGATTATGTAGATGAAATCTGTGAAGGCTTGAGTTTATCCATTATCACTAGATAGCCACTCTCTGACACTCTTTTAACTAACCATCTTAAATTTGTTGAGATAAAAATCTTGACATTCTCCCTTGTAATGAAAGGACTTTTTATGAGACGGAGCTAAATTATAGATTGCAATTGCAACTATTGATGAAAGATATCTGCTCCTGGACTAGTTCCATGTCTATACTGATATGTTTGCTGATCCTACTTCTAGAAAGGCTGGTGCTTTTGCTTATTGTCAGTTCTTTCAACTTAAAAAAATCCAGTAGGGGTATTTCATTAACTTTGATGGAGAAATTTCTGCAAGGCTTCTTGCTACTAACGCTTTAAAATATGTTATGCAAGAAAAAATTATTTTCTTGTTTATTCTCAAGCTGCAATTTAGGCTTCGGTAACTAGGAACATTATTCCTCGTCTCAAGATGTTCTGCGTAAAGAAGCCATAAGCAGTATTTACAATTTTTTTCCCTTCAGTACATTAAAGATGGCGGATAAAGCTTGTGTCATGTGGATTGGGCAAGATTCCATTTTGAACCCAGACTAAAAATACAAAAACAATTTTCATCTTACCTGTATTTATTTCCATATTCAAAACTGGCTTATTAAAAATTTTAGTTCTATAAATGATTCAGTAACTTTTTTCTTCCAATTAATCCTTTCTTTTATTTAACCACTTTTTGTTATCTGATTTTTTGTTTCATTTCTGTAGTTACTGAAGTAAAAAGTAGATGGAAGCTCTTAAAAGATTCATTCAACAGGGAGATAAGGAACATGGCAAGAGGAGGCCATAGTACTACAAAGTGGGTACATTTTGATCAAATGTCATTTCTCATGAAAGGAACCAACAGTTTATTACTTCCTAGAGTAAACTTCGAGACAGAATCAGACAGTGGATATCTGTCTCAATCGATGTTTGAAGTTGACTCCGAAAGTCAAAATACTACTTCTAATAGTGCTGAAAATGAGCTTTCTGAGAACTCGTATATTACTATTGAAGATATTGAAGCAATCTCCCCAAAAAAGAAAAAGCGTAAAGTGTATTACACTTCTACAAACAATAAGGGTGAATTATCTAACCCTATTTGTGCAGAGTCACCTGACGAAAAGCCCTCTTTTCACCTTGATCCTAGTAATGAAGATTATCTTTTTCTCACAAGTTTATTGCCTACTCTTGAAAGGTTATCGGCAAAGAAAAAAATGCTATTTAAAATTAAATTAATGCAAAATCTATTTGAGGCTGCATATGGAGAGGAAACATCCAATGCAAATTGTAGTAATGATGAAAATATTTCTACTGTTTAGGGATTTTTAAAAAGTTTTTGAAGACATGAAATTAATCAGTCTAAGTATGTTTATGATTTTTTATAAAGCTAGATACATAGATATATCTAGTAGCACTTTCTCATCTATCCGTTGTAGATGTAAAAAATTAATCATTTGTTTTTGCTATTAAATAATAAAATTAATTAATCAAAGCTGATAAATAACTAAGCTGTTATAAATCAGACTATAACAAATGTATCTAAGTACAGGTAGGCAAGAAAGCTAAGCAACTCCTATGCAGTGAATTCAAAGCACTGAAGTCTGTCTACTCTCATAATAATAGTTCTGTCTTGTAAAAGTCAAATCCAACTTATGGAATAAGAGATATTACTTTTTAATGTAAAATTTAATGCTGGTTAATTATTATATTGAAGAGAAGTGATGGTGAAGTTGTCTAGGTGCTGAGTTGCATTGTGTAGGAGCAGGGTTCTATTCCTGGTGGCAGCTTGAACCCTACAAAGCTTCAGATTGATGGGTACTATCTTGCTGAGAAGTAAAGGCAGCTTATCCAGAATGCTGACCACATTTTTGCAATATTGTGGAACTTCAACCTCAATAGCCCCTGTCGAGCAACAACTCGCTGTTGTGGGATTGTTTTACATTAATTATTATATTAATTCTAAATTATTTATTATTATAATTTTTATTGTTCTGAATTATTTATTGTTATTAATTTTTTAATATTATATTAATTCTATGTAAATTTTCCTGTATTATCACTTCCTTAATAATTCATGATCATTAATGAATGAAGATAATAAAAAAAAACTAGGATGTTTGCTTAACTTTGGCACCAATGCATTCCCCATAAGTACTAAAGTACCCCATAGATACTAAAAAAAGAAGAATTTATTTTTATTTTTGACTATTTATTAAAATTGTGTAATGGAATCACTTTTATCAGAGTCATAGCAGTTAACTTATACAGCATGCTATAGGATTATAGATAGGGCCCTATAAATTATGCAGAAATTTTTTAAAAATTATGCGGCAAGGATGCAGTGTCTTTTAGAAATTATGCATACAGAAGTTAGTCCAGAAGCTACGTTTTCTTTCAAACTCTGTCTTTGTTTTGTAAAAATTTGGCTGTATCAGGATACAGCTCTTTCACAATCTACTGAATTAGGAAGCACTGAGAGCACTTGTCTTGCTTTTTTTGTAAGTTCTGGAAATCTCTCTGAGACTACCTCTGAATTCCAGAATCTAATTAAGTCCTGGTTTGAACATTCTTTTACATATTCTTTGTTAGCAGTATACTCGAGTTTTATATCTTTACCACTCATTCCTGGAATATTCTTGAATACATCGTCGTCTTCAATATTGAGGTTGACTATTTGTTCTGGATCGAAAACTCGAGCAGCTTTCATGAAGTTTAATGCAGGTTGACTAAACTTGGGCCCGCGTTTTTTGAATACGTCTAGTTCTGGAGAGTAGGACTGGGCTTTATACCGATGTAAGACAATATATCGATTTAACTCCAACATCGTAATACCGATTTATCCATTTAATCTTCAACAAAATTCCGGAGTGAGCATTTCGACTCTACTAAATCAATTTATTCATGACAGCAAACGCTAAATCGATGTTGCTGTCTCCGATGTAGTGAAACACCGGTTTAATCATTGCGAGAATGTACAGAACAGAGTCCGATCTGCCTTAGCGTAAGGGAAAGATTCAAGGTCAACTATCAACTCATTCGCTTGGTAACACGTGCGCTCAACTTCTTTGGCTATTTGCCAAAATCACATCTGGTGCAGGGGTTGGTATAGTTAAATCGGAATGGGCCATTGAATCTCTTCATTCAAAACTAATTCACTAGGTTATATCGATATTTAGCGGTTGAAAAAAAAACTCCGATATAGCAGGGATCGGTGCAATTGAATCTCCTCATTCAGATCGATATAGCAGGGATCGGTGCAGTTGAATCTCCTCATTCAGATTTCAAGTTTATATCGATATTTGCGGAGGATTTTTTACCACCAAGTGTATGTGATTGTCTTCTCTTTAGAATTCCGATTTTAGGATATCTTGCTCGTGCAGGAGGGAAAATTCCCATCTTCAATTTTACATATCCTGATTTCTGAAATAGGT